AGATCAAGGAGTCGGGATTCGCGCTTCCCACTTGGATTATAGTCCCCGAGCCAGAGACGTACAAAAAGTTAATCGGAGCAAACGCTAACCGCTAGCTCGCGAGTGCGAGCGACCGGCGCGGCGGACCGGCCCCCTTTTAGCAGGCGCGTAATAGCCACGGAAGAGCGCTGTCACCCGTAAATCGCGCACGCGCGCACACCCGCTGGAGCCGTCGCGCGTCGCGCAGCATCCCGTATCCCGTATCCCGTCGCTGTCCGCTGTCGTCGCGAACGTCGCGACAATCGGAGAAAACGCGCGAGAGGAGCGTCGCACGTTGACGCGTAGGATATACTATTTTCATAGAGTTTTAACGCGCGCACGCGCACATGCACTTTCTTTTTTTCCTCTTTCTCTCGCGGAGCATTTGAAGTTACACGAGACTTGTAAGACGCGAGAGAGAGAGAGAGGTACATACGCGACGCCCACGCGGCCCACGTTCCACGAGCGCGGTGATATCGCGCTCGTAGAGAGCGGTCTCAGCGGGAGAAGCCGGTAACCGCGTGCCGTGTGCGTTAAATCGTTAGCCGAGGTTATACAAACCATACAAACCTTCTTCATGATGCCGGTCTTTCTCTTGGAGAAGGTGGTGTACCTCCTGAGCTTATTGTCGATGTACTCCATCTTAATCTTAACCCGGCCCTTGGTCTTCTTGCCGTTCGAGGGGGGTGACTTCTTGGGCTGGCCCAGGTTGGTGAAAGACTCGTCGAGATTGTCGGGCACGCAGTCGCCGGGCATGCCCTGCGAGAGGGACTGCTGGCGCGGATTATTACCGTCGTCGCCGTAGCAGACGTCGGAGGTGGAGCGCTTGATGCCCCGCTGGACGGGACCGACGCCCGGCGTCGCGGCGCCGACGTTCGACATCATGGTGGCGCCGCCGCCGCCGCGGCCCAACTGGGAAGCCGCCGCCGCTGCCGCCGCCGCCGCCGCGAGCTGGGAGGTGGACGGTCGGCCGTAGATTTCCGTGCCAGCATCGCTCCCGATCATCCCCATGCTGTAGCTGAGGCTCGCGTACCGACCGTCTCTTCCGCCGCTAGGGTTGTCCATCGCGGCGTCGACGCGCACATCTAATCCCTTCCCCACGACGCGGACGGCGCGGGCGGCGCGTCTTCGCGACGGAATCGCGTGCGGAACTCGGCGCAGGGTCCACCACGTGATCGATCATCTAGAGGAACACGGGACAACAACGCGCACCGCACGAGCGCTCCCCGCGAACTGAATGCGCCGCGCCGGAGCCGCGAGAAGCGGAGTATCGTAACTTGACCTACGTGCCTAACCGCGACGACGGCAGCGGCGGCGGCGGCGCGCGGCGGCACGGCGATGCCTCCGCGTGTCGCGCGGCGCTGCGCGGCCCCCCACCGACGTGCGACCAAGCGACCGCGCGACCACGCCGCGAAAAACTAGTCCGCCGTAACCGCGTGGCCGCGACCGCGCGAGGATCCGCGCCGAAA